CAGGCTGTTACTGCTGGCTGCACGCAAACCAACGTACGAGCCACAGCCCGGCTGGTGAGGAACCGACTTTAGGTGCTTGTCCAGTGCCAGCTTGAAGACTGCCAGGGGTCTGTTGGTAATCCCCCTTATGTATGCTGGGAGGCAGTTGAACAGTCTTGGGCCCCTGACACTTATTGTATGGTCTCTTAACATGCTAGTGACACCCCTGCTTTTCATTGGGGGGATGTTGCATCGTCTGCCAAGTCTTTTGCTTTCGTAGTGAGTGATTTTCGTGTGCAAGTTCGGTACTAGTCCCTCTAGGATTTTCCAGGTGTATATAATCATGTATCTCTCCCGCCTGCATTCCAGGGAGTACAGGTTCAGGAACTTCAAGTGCTCCCAGTAATTGAGGTGTTTTATCTCCATTATGCGCGCCGTGAAGGTTCTCTGTACATTTTCTAGGTCAGCAATTTCACCTGCCTTGAAAGGTGCTGTTAGTGTGCAGCAATATTCCAGCCTAGATAGAACAAGTGACCTGAAGAGTGTCATCATGGGCTTGGCCTCCCTAGTTTTGAAGGTTCTCATTATCCATCCTGTCATTTTTCTAGCAGATGCGATTGATACAATGTTATGGTCCTTGAAGGTGAGATCCTCCGACATGATCACTCCCAGGTCTTTGACGTTGGTGTTTCGCTCTATTTTGTGGCCAGAATTTGTAGTGTAGGGAAGACAGCCTGGCCACCCTACCAACTATGTAGTGTAGGGAAGCTAGCCTGGCCACCCCACCCACTATGTAAACAAACAGAACATGCGTCTAGTTGTGGTTCACAAACATTCATACAAACACCTTACATTGTGTACTAGTTATCTCCACAGTGGTATTGTAGAATAGATAAAGACCAATACTTCCATTCTCATGTAATTTTTAGAAGGAATGATGCTCTGACAGATTATTATTATTGCAAATTATTATTAATGATTATTATTATTATTACATGTGATTATTATAAGTTATTATTACAAGTTATTATTATTATAATCATAATAAAAAAGCACTAAACCCACAAGGGTCATGAATTGCTATATATAGAGTGAAGGCATACGAAAGGAATATTTATCTACAGTTATCTCCCAGTGTTTGACTAGAGAAAACGTAATTCTTCCGACACTCCTACAGAGCCACTTTGTAAACAGATCTCATATTTATGTCAATTTTTATTCTGTGGGTGTATGTATAATGTTTATATGCTATGTCACATATTTCTTTATATAATTTTGAAGAAAATATCATAAATGGATTAATGAAAATGTCTTTATTAACATAAAATAAGACATTTAATGTGCCCAAGAGAGATTATTATTACATAGTATTACTATGGTGTCATGAGTAGAGAGGCTCTTAGTGATTTTAATGTGTAACTACATGCCAGCACAGTGTGTAAGTATATTTAAGTACAGGTACACATAAGCATAATTATCAGAGTACTTATAAAATACGCAATAACTTTAAAACACTTGAAATTTTGGAAAGTTTCCAGACATAATAGATGTTCTCACAGAGAATGTAAACAAACCGGGTGGGGCACACTGTATTTGAAAGACCACTTGCTGTATAGCAAATTTTGGTCATAATTTGAAATCGCCGTATTAGCGGAACACTGTGAGGCGAAATGCCATAAAGCAGGGCCCTATTGTACATGTAGAGTTGAAGAACAACCTGAGGACTTTTATTATTTATACTTTTTGATATGAAGCCAAGGATTCTGTTAGCTTTATTGCAAACACTTATGCACTGTTGTCTTGGTTTCAGATTACTGCTAACCAGAACTGAATTCATTTCTACACTAATGCAGTAGTCTGCATAACTGTAAATCTTCTATTTTTTGTGAGAATAAAAATTCAAAGTGGAAAGCAAAAGAAATGTAAGAGGGGCCTGGGGACATGACTAATGAACAGAGGATATGTTATTTTAGTGCCAGGAATGTCTGCCTTGTTTATTCTGGGCCCTATTTGGAAATTGGCATCTACTGAAATTTGTGTGAAATTGACAAAATTGCTAATTTCTGACCACTTTATTGGATAGTTGAAATTGGTAAATGGGTGGTTTCTTGTACACATTCAATAGAAAAAAATAAAGTTCTAGCAAAATAGTTATGATTTTTGTTGACTAGTACACTGGAATTGGCCAAAAATAGGGCTCAAAATGGGCGAAATCACTGATGCGTAAACATCGTTGAGACCGCTAACTTCGCGAGAGCATAATTCCATAAGTTTTCCATTAAATTTCATACTTTTGGTGTCATTATGATCAGGAAAAAATTCTCTATACGTGTATTTTCATAAGAAAAAATAATTTGTTTTCTGAAAAATTTTCGACCCTGAGAACAAGTTTAGGAGAAGGCCTCTCAACCCTGAAAGGGTTAATCAGTTCATGCCTTTCTGGATGGCTACGAATTGCCTCGGCAATTATTGATTCCATAAATTTTCCCACTTTGTAGGTAACGCTTATTGGTCTATAGTTCGAAGCTAAAGACCTGTCACCTGCCTTGTAATTTGACATTTCCCACTTGTCTGGCACTATGCCAGTTTGTAGTGATATATTGAAAAGATTAGCCAAAGGTATAGTAAGTTCCTCTTTACATTCCTTTAAAACCTGTGGAAAATTAAATTTACCTGGATGTAACTCATAAGATACATACCAGTAAATGGTAACAAAGATAATTATTCTTTATCAAGGTTACAGAGACAAGTAGGAATTTTAGGACACCTAGGTCGCAAAAAATGTCCTCCTTTGATACCTACGATAATCTATCTCTCCACAAGTCACTCTGGACCTATATTAATTTCAAATGAAATATACATCACCAGGAATTCTGGTAAAAACATTAATATAAATATGTGGACTGTATATTCAATTTAAAATGTGAATACATATACATTGAAGGAGAATTTATAATAGTAAGACTCCCCAATTAGTCTGGAGATTACGGTGTGTCGTACAAACCCCCTTGCCTAAATTATGAAGAAAATACTGGCCAGAATTTCAACACGAAATAGACATGGCTTAGCTGGGGTTCCGAAGCTGTCCTGTCCATCTGCTTAATGCTCACGTTATGCAGGACTGCAATTCCAACAATTTTGGCTCCTATTTGAGAGGTTTTAAGCCCAATGTAACCCCTAAAGCGACGAAAATTATGCACATTTCACTCGCGTGCCTTCTGCCCCGTTCAAAACAATGGTGTCTCTTCCCCAGCGATGCTCACCCATCACTGGTTCTTTATTTATTTACAAATTAATTTTTATTACCTACAATATATTACACTAATTTACATACAAAATACACTGTATTTTTGGAGAATATACAGTATTCTCCACAAAACTCTTGCAAACAGTTTATTAGGGCCTGGGGATTTGTTAGGCTTTAATTTCTCTGTTTGTCTGAGGACCATGTCACTAGTTACAGCAATCATGCATAGTTTATTATCATCATGTTCTACATAATTTATTACTTCTGGAATTTCGGTAGTATCTTCCTGAGTTAAAACTGAGAGGAAGTAAGAGTTGAAAGGTTCACATTTCCTTATCACTGTCAGTGATCTGACCTGAGTTACTCTTAAGTGGGCCTATCTTTTCCCTAATCTTACATCTGTATACCTGAAAGAACCCTTTTGGGTTAGTCTTCTAATCCCTTGCGACTTGAGCCTCATAACCCCTTTTTGCTTTTCTTTTTTGGTTGTGTATCTCTCATCTGTGGAAGTTAAAAGGGCTGCTGCAGCATACATTTTATTGAGCTAGAGTCAACAATCAGATTTTCTCCAAGCATTCTATTCAAGTTTTATGCTGAATTTCTCAACCTTCTTTTCACAAACATGTGCTGTTTAAATGCAGTCTGTTTGAGGTCTACTGCATACTGTATCTGAATTTTCTGTTTAATTTTTATTTTATATGCATGAAGGTGTAAGCTAAATGTTTTCACTGGAAGAATAAATACAATATAACAGTGGCAGCAGATGGCAGGATACTTGCCCATGCATCTTCCTTTATTTTATTAGCCAAATTAGCTAGGAAATGTGATGTGTTCTTGTAGTCAGCTGATAAACTGGGTTCATCTCAATAAATTCATATGACTGTGTAACTCTGCTACAATTATCTCATTCAAATACTTGTTTACTTTTTATTATCAGTCACCAACAACTGTTGTAACAATTCAGCTGTAGTACATACCACAGCTGAGAATATGTAATTATGATAATGTGTGATAATGGACTTTTGTAAATTCTTGATTTAATATATTTTCTCCAAACTTTTCATGCAGGTATTTTGTATAAATGAAACATTCTTAAGCTACATATATATTTTGGATAATATTAATTAGGTAAAATAAATGCTTTCTAGTGGCCATGACTTACTTTTACTTAGGATGAACAGTTGGAGGCTAGGACACACCACTCATTGCTTTATGACCACACTGTAAAAATCTCTGCAAAGTACCTTCCTAAATTTTGCACATTACTTAAATTGTTTTTAGACATATGGCACATTTTATCAAACTTACTTCATGCTATATATTTTTGTATGCACTTTTAAGTCACTTTTACATGAAATCACTCTTTGGTGTTACTTTATAAGAGTTTGCTTTATTTAACATTTTTTGTGTTTCAAATTGATGTGTTAGGTTTCATAATGAAGGCAGCTCTTAATACACTTCTACTTAACATTTATTATACACTTGCCTCAGTTTTCGTATGCCCTAGTCTGTATGTAAAATTATAGTTATTCTCTATAAAATCCATTTTTTGTTAGTATTTTTGGGTGTCTGGAATGGATTAATTAGATTTACATTTCTTATGGAAAATATTAACAAAAAATCCATTTTATAGAAAATAACATTAGTTTTACATACAGACTAGGGCATATGAAAACCGAGGTTCCACTGTATTTTCTTTCTAATTAAAGTTTAATTATAAGTAAAGCACAATTTGTTGATTCATAATTTTACCAAAGAAATTGGTTATTAACAGGCATCTTTAGGTGTCCATCTTTGAGTAAGAGTGAGGCAGGCGAGTGGCAACGCAAGAAGGGTCCAGCGCCTCCTCGACCAGTGCCACAGAAGAGAGCTCTGAAGAAGTTACCAATGCGCATAATTCAACAGGAGCTTCAGGATATTGAGATCAAGCAGACAGAACTTGAGAGACAAGGTGTTCTGCTCGAGACATCCATTCGTAACCGCACGGAGAATGCACCAAACAACCCTGTAGAGGATGCCTCTGTTAGTAGTGGTCCAAACAGCATAGAAGTCGAAGATATGATAATGCAGCTGTTTGAACTCGTCAATGAGAAAAATGAGTTATTCCGACGTCAGACTGAGCTCATGTATCTGTAAGTAAGAGAGCTTTGTAATTAATGTTAATACACTCTTCTTTATCCAGTAGTCAGCTCCTGTTATTCACTCACATGTAAAAATATTTTAAGGTTAGGATCTGAACTTGTCAACTCTCTTAACCCTTTCAGTGTTGAGACTCCTGCTCTCATACTTGCTCTCAGGGTCGAAGAATTTAAAAAAAAATTATTTTATGAAATGATAGAGAATCTTTTTTCCAAAGGTAATGAAATTTATGAAATTATACTCTTGCAAAGTTAGCTGTCTCAGCGATTTTGCATACTTTGCACTCTATTTATGGCCAATTCCATTGTTTCAGTCCACCAAACTCATAGCTATTTTGCTAGCATTCCTTCTATTCTTTTAATTGAGTACAAGAAATTATCCATTTACCAATTTGAACTATCCAATAAAATGATCAGAACTCTGCAATTTGGCCAATTTCATACAAAATTCAACAATTGCCAGTTTGAAAATAGGGTCTAGAATAAACAATGTAAACATTCCTGGCACCAAATAAACATTTCCTCTCTTCCTTAGTCACATCTCCAGGCCCCTCTTATATTACACTTCTTTTTCATTTTGAATATTTATTCACACAAAAAATAGAAGATTTATTGTTATGCAAATCTACTACATTATTGTAATAATTGTATAAATAATGTCAGTGCATTCCTAAATGCATATTAGACAAGTCAGTTGGACACATATTGCACAAGTGACGTCATTTGTGTACTCTGGAATATCAGCAAAAATCAATCGTTTCCATTATGAGCTCAATTTCAAGCTACTTTCATTCCTGAAACTAATCAAAACCATCATTACTTATGTAATATATCTTCCATTCTATCAAATGAGATCAAGAAACCGAGAATACAGCCATAAAACCCATATGAAAGTACACCGCAAAGTTTCTGTTTTAACTCGCAATTGGTCCAAACGTATATATATGTTCACTACCTCAGTGCCCTGAATATTTTGAAAAATATAAAAGTCATTTTTTAATGAAAATAAAGAGCACATTTTTCTAAGTGTTATAGGATTAAAATAAAAAAAATTAGGGTCAGTACCTACGGAGATATGAGGCTGCAAAGTTGGCACTTAATGCTCACCTGATGGCAACATAGAGTCCTGCTGCTTGCAGAAGTCTTGCCGATATACAATTTTTTCTCATTTTTATATTATTTTATATAATTTTTATCTTCTGATAATTACAATTTATTGTAGTTCTTGACATTTCATAACCAGTCTTTGTTCTGACCCTAATATTAGGTACTGAAATTGTACTCAAGTTGTCACTAACATATTGACAGGTGGACATTTACACCTGCCTTGGTCATTTACTGTTGTCTAGGAATATATACAAAGTATTTATAGGTCCCAGCAATGTTTTGGATACATGGGAGTAAAGAAGAAAAAGGAAGGAGGAGGAGGAAGGAAGAAGGAAGAAATTCCCTTGAAGCAATGTGTAAGACAAGTGTTCAGTGACAAGCATCCGGGAGGGCAGTGATAAGATCAGACATGAGATGACATTGGATGGGTGCCAGCGAGGGTGCAGAATAAGATGAGACAGTGCAGAGATAAGAGGAGATAAGCTATGACATTTGATGGGCGCCAGCTAAGATGCAGAGATAAGGAACGACATTTGATGAGCTCGTATCTCTGATTATTCTGTGTGTCTGTCTGCTTCTCTCTCTGTCTGTCTCAGAGAGAGCCACTGTGAACAAACAGGTATTCTTATGCATTACATATACAAGCACAGTATAGCACTTCAGATTTTTTAGGTTATCCTAGGTAATTTACACTATGTATAATTGTGTGTACCTTTGAGACAGAGATAGATAGACAGAGACAGACAGAAATAGACAGAGACAGATAGACAGACCCTAAACTTGGGGTTAGCATCACTTCTTAAAAGGGAAGTGTTAATATGACATTACATCCATGAATCCTTGGTGTTTGCCCCGCTGTTTGCTCTAGCTGGCGCTCAATATAACTGGCGTTCCCACAAGGTACTAATTGGTCCCAGATTTTTTTTAATATGGTGCACACTGAGTGTTAAGACCCATTCTATGCTGACCAGGCATCTCAGGCCAATCGTGCCAAATTTGGAGGCAGGAAAGATAAAACATATATTTACATTTGGGGCGCTAGCGGTAAGAACGTATACAGTGGTCCCTCGTTTTTCGTAATTAATCCGTTCCTGGAGGAGCTACTATAAATGAAATTTACGATTTGCGAATCAATTTTCCCCATAAGAAATAATGTAAATACAATTAATCCGTTCCTGACACCCAGAAGTATTAAAACAAAAAAATTTTTACATGAAATATACATGTAGTACATAAACAATACAATGGGAAATGATGAATGAAACATTAACAGCATAACACTTACCTTTATTGGAGATTCTTCTTAGTGTATGGGAGACTGGAGGAGGAGAGAGATTGGATTGTTTACAGTTTGGAAGGGAATCCCTTCCAGCAACACCTCAGGTACCTATTGCTTCTCTGGGGATGCTTCTCTTCTCTGTTTCTTAATGCCACTAGGACCACCTTGAGAGTCACTCTAGTCTTGTCTCACAAAGTAACTGTGGAGAGAGCTCTGTTTCTGGCATCTCTAACACTTCCCTAAAATGGCCCAAGACTGTGTCACTGTACATACTTCTCACCTTCTTTACCACAGGCTTGGCACTAGGAGCTTTCTTTGGAGCCATGGTAGCTTATTTAGTACTTGCAAGCACTAAAATGAGTGGAATATTATGAAATATTTCGTAGGAGCACTTGAGGGGACCTTCACTCACTGGTAAACAATGCCAGACTGGCTGGGTAGGGAGGCCGCCCCGGCTCACACCGTGCGTACGTGTCCCGGACGAACTACTATTCGCGAGTCAACCTATGAAAAGTGAGTCCATGTTTATACGAAAATACCCCTATGATTGGCAAAATTTATGATTGCCGAGAACTACGAAAAGCGAGGGACCACTGTATATACCTTTGGACCGTTTACGGGTTAAACTAAAAACACGGTCATTTTTTTTTTCTCATTACATAAGAACATAAAAGAACATAAGAAAGGAGGAACGCTGCAGCAGGCCTGTTGGCCCATACTAGGCAGGTCCTTCACAGTCCATCCTACTAACAAAATATTTGCCCAACTCAATTTTCAATGCTAGCCAAGAAATAAGCTTTGATAATTCAATTTATTCATGTGCAAGTCCCACTCAGATCAAACCCTTCTCACCCATGTATTTCTCCAACCTAAATTTGAAACTACCCAAGGTTTTAACTTTGATAACCCTACCAGGTAGACCGATCAACTCATCAACTACCCTATTACCAAACCAGTACTTTCCTATACTTTTGTATATCCTCTAAATCTAAGCTTATCTAATTTGAATCCATTATTGTGGGTTCTCTCTTGGAGAGATATCCTCAAGACCTTATTTATATCCCCTTTGTTAATACCCATCTTCCACTTATACACTTCAATCATGTCTCCCCTCATTCTTCGCCTTACAAGTGTGTGTAGCTTAAGGTCTTCAATCTTTCTTGATACAGAAGATTTTTAATGCTATGTATTAATTTAGTCATTCTATGCCGAACGTTTTCTAATGAATTTATATCCATTCTGTAATATGGAGACCAGAACTGAGCTGTGTAGTCTAGGTGAGGCCTTACTAATGATTTATACAACTGTAATATAACCACTGGACTTCAGTTGCTTACACTTCTTGATATAAATCCCAGTAATCTGTATGCCTTATTACGTATGCTTAGACACTGCTGTCGTGGTTTAAGACTGCTGCTTACCATAACCCCCAAGTCCTTGTTGCAATCTGTATGGCTAAGTTCTACGTTATTTTACCTATAAGTGCTAGGGTTATGGACACTCAAGTTTCAGAACCTTGCATTTATCTACATTGAACTGAATTTGCCACTTTTCCGACCAGGAATTGAGTTTGTCTAAATCCTCCTGAAGTTCCTTGACATCTACGTTTGAATCAGTTATCCTACCTATCCTCATGTCATCTGCAAATTGGCTCATATCACTCATCAAGGTCATTGATGTATATTATAAACAACAACTGGCCTAAGACTGATCCCTGTGGAACATCACTTGTTACGGATCCCCACTCGGATTTAATCCCATTTATGCACACACACTGCTTCCTATTTGTGAGCCATGACTTGATCCATGAGAACACTTTTTCCCTAATGCCATGAGCTGCCACTTTTTTTACAGGCTCTGGTGTGGTACTCGATCAAAAGCCTTACGAAAATCTAAATAAATAATATCACATTCCTTATCATGATCAACAGCCTCAAAAACTTTACTAAAGAAGGTTAATAAATTAGCTAGAGAGGAACGACCCTTTGGAATCCATGCTGAGTATCATTAATCAAATTATGCTTTTCGAGATGGCTTCTTATAATATCAGCCATAATTAGCTCTAATAATTTGCCTACAATTGAGGTCAGGCTTATTGGGCGGTAATTTGACGGTAACGACTTGTCCCCTGCTTTAAAAATATTAATTACATTAGACATCTTTCACATATCAGACACTACACCTGTTTGAAGAGATAAATTAAAAATATTAGTTAATGGTTCACAAAGTTCCATTTTGCATTCCTTAAGAACCCTTGAAAAAAGCTCATCAGGACCCGGTGATTTATTTTGTTTCACTCGGTCTACTTGTTTCATAAATATTTCACTAGTGACTGTGATGTTACATAATTTATATTCTTCATGTCCACTATAAAAATTAATTACTGGGAGGAGCCAATCAAATACAAAGAAAGGGGAGCACTGCAAGGGAGCTAGGTGCCCACAGAGGGAGAGCAAGTGCACAGAGGTGGGGGGAAGGGGAAGTGATGAAATAAATAATGAACAGAAACACACGACAGAAGAAAGGAAGACAAAAAAGGAAAGAGGAAAGGGGTTAGTGTGACTTTGTAAATGGTCCAAGTCGGACCGAAACGTCATCGTAAGCTCCT